GGGTAAACATACCTTGTGGACTTGAGGTCTGTAGAAGACCCCAGCCCCAATTCTTCAATCTTGTTTGCAGCTCCTGTGTATATTAGTCTTAATTGTTAAGACCTGCCCCCGACTCTATCAGCATCTGCCTTTAAATTACATGCCGCTGTGTTGGAGACTCCCAGAAGGCAGAGGGTGGTTATTGATTGGGTGATTTTAAAGGATTATCATCTGAAATTGTGGGGAGGCTTTAGCTCAACTAGCAGCTAAGTTTCTGTGTTCTCTCAATCTTGTGACCTGGGAGCAAGTGGTTTTAAGCCTGGCATTTGCGTCCTTCACAATTTGGGCAATGTTGCAAAGCAGCTGACTGTCAAGCCAAGTAGGGCTTGTCTTGACTGTCTTCTTGCCTCCTTTCATCTTCTCAGATATTCATCTTGTCCTTAACTTTTCCAAGAACATCTTTGCTTTAAAAGGAAACATCAGAACTGAAAAGTTCAAGCTATGTATAGAATTTGGTTGCCTTCACGGTTATTTGAGATTTACACATGATATATGCATTGCTTATTTTATCCTGATAACTTTTCTGAGAAATAAAAGGTGTGCATCTTCACAGATGAAGAAGCTGAACTTTAGAGAGCTAGAGATGATGTTTTGCAGACAGTATGCTTAAACTGAACTCCAAGATCTTTTCACTGCTTGGTCAGTACTTTCTGCAATACTCTATGATCAACTTCTAAGAATACAATTATAATGGTGAAATGTCAGATAATAGAAAGGTTATTTCGGACAAGAAATGTATCCCTTCAAGTAATATCAGTGGATCCAGCATTATTAGAGGAAAGTCTTTGGCTTTGCATCTAATTGATCCTAAGCTTACACCATGAAAATATGGCCAAGTCGTGTAACTTTTTAAAGCCCCAGTTCCCCCATGTTAAAAATGGGGCCAGCACTCACCATGCATGATTGTGAAAACATCAGTGTTGTAAGGAATAGCTGTTACTACAGTTATGAGCTCAGAATAGCAGATTCCACTCTCCTTACTGTCCAAAGAGTTAAATGTTTTAGATGATTTGGGAAAAAAAATAACAGTAGATTATCTAGCCACTCAGCAAAGGAAAAAGCAGCACCCAGGAGGCTGGAAGCATTTTGCATTATGTGTGGCTGAGAGAAGACGTGACTGTGTTCAGACTGGGGCATTTTCCCATCTACTTCACATCCAGCCATGGAAGGGTTAAGCATATGGTTCCCAAAATTCCCTGATATTATTTCATGCTATGATGTTGTCATAAACTGGTGCCCACTAGAATAGGACATTCCTGTAAACAAGAACCATGTCTCCTCTATCTTTGTATCATTAAAATACTTATGGAGTATCCATGTGCTAGGCACTGTTCAATGAATGAGTCAATGGAAAGTAACGCCTATCTATTTGTTAGATTGGTTCTTTCCTTCCAGAACAAATCACAGAGATGATTGAAACAGCAAGTTATTTCTGGGATGGAAAATGTGAATTGTGTTGGGTTCCTGTGACCAAGGTGATTAGAATGATGCCCAATGCTCTCTTCTACAGAAACCATATACTCTCAGGCCAAAGAGGGTGAACTTTTGAAAAAAATGTTGGGAAAAAAAATAATAAGTGCCTTCCACACTGGTATTTCTCAAAGGTGTTGCAGAAGATAAAACCTTAGAACTCAAGGGTTGAGATTTTGGATATGTTTTTAAAAGCACACTGTAGTCTTTTCCAAATGTGGGTCCGTGGGTAAGTTGCCCAACTTTCCAAACCTCATCTGGAAAATGGGGTCCATGGTAGTACTTACTCAGAGCACTCTTGTGAGGGTTGTGTGAACTCAAGTATGTGGGGCACTTGACACAGTTCTTGGTATGGAGTGAACGCTCCATGAATAGCGACCCTTGCCCTCACAGCCATACCTCACATTACTGGTATTGTTTAGGAGTACAAAATCTGGTATTTGGAACCCACTGGAGACTAATACAGCAGTGCCACCTGGTGACCACTTTATCACAAGAGTCACCTGTAACTTCCTAAGGGCTGGAGAAAGATCCCTGGGGAGAAGGATGCACCCTCTGTTTCTGAGGATTTAAATCTAAAGATAGCCTTTGAATATATGAGAGACTTTTTCATCAATATTGCAAATGACCCTCCTTTGCAGAAAATCCAGAAATAATTACATCCTCTGAGATTAAGTTTGAGCTATATTACTTTTCACTTCGCTAACTTTGGAGAGCAGCTAAAAGTTATCTTTGGCAGCATCCCTTTAAAAAAGCATAATTGGAGGTGCACTTGATTGGTACTATTGAGAGTTTACAAAACACTCAGTTCTCTTGGGAGTAAGTAAATTATAAAACAGTAAAAAATACATAGATATGAGTCAAGAAATCATGGTTATTTTATATACAAAGGATGCCATATTGCTTCATTCTCTAGCTTTCTTTCTTGTATCTTTATATCTTGCAATAAAGGATTTTTCCCCAAATGCCAATGGGTGCATTTCAGGAAGTTCCCAAGTGCCCTGAAAAAAATTTGTGCATATGGGTGATGGTGGTATTATTATCTTTTTAAAAGTCTATAATTCCTGAGAAACAACATAAAAGAACCATTGCTCTAAAAAAAAAGTGATAAGCTGGTGGAATATGTATATAATTAAATTCAAAATCTTCATTCCAGTCTTATTTTCAAAAATTCTATTCTTCCAGCTTTCTCTTCTGCCAAGAAGTGCAATGTAAACTGGTAGTCATATAGGAAAAAGGGATATAGTCAACACACTCTTAGAGTTTGATCACTGGTTGGTTAGCATTCTTCACACTCTCCTTTAGGTGCTTATATTCTAAAGCATGAAGACGTCATGTGGGAAATTACCTTGATGCAGTGGTAGCTTTCAAGTACACTATCATGCAAGTTATACCTGAGATCATGGAACAGAAAGGTCCACCGGCCAAGATGCCAAAAGTATAGAGCTTTATTAAATCAATGGAAAGCCCACAGCAAGAAACAAGGGGAAATCCATGGGCTAGGTTAACTCATTTCAGGTAGGGTGTAAGAGGAGTGGAAGGGCCACACTAGTCGAATGCTCTGCAGTGTTGCTGTATCCTGCCTCTCTCTCTACCACGTCATCCTTCCCCACTAATGCTATGTTACAAAGACCAGAGTTCAGGTTTGAGCAAGGCAAGTCATAGAACGAAGGAGCCAATGAAACCTGCTTCCTCCTGGTGAGAGACAAGTAATTGAAATTCACCAATTAGCTTGATGAGCTGCTATGGGTAACAAAGGGTGACCAAATTAAGACCTCAGGACACTGAGCGCCTCATATTTCTCATGTAAATTTAGTGTATCATGAGTACATGGTGGTTCATGTATATTTAGTGCAACATAAATACATAGTGTTTTCTTGGTCTTTTTATTCCTTTCTGTTTTTTTCTACACTCACATGCTCTAATTATTTTTTTCTGTCTTAAAAGTTACTAACTTTGCTGTGTTTAACACATCATATACATTTTACCTATCTCATTTGTTTTCCTGTCTTCTATAACAGAGTTAAACATTCTTAAGCAATATAGCAAATGCATATTATAGCATGGAATATTTGGGGCCCTTGAATATGAGCTCCAAATTAGTTTGGATGATTCTGGACCAGAGAAAGTTTCCTATTATTTACTTACCATATTCATCCATAGCTTGAGAAATGGACACTTCTGACTGTGGTTGACATGGAGTTTAATCTTTGCAGGGATACAAACCACAGGTGTCAAATGCAATGTGTTGTGTAACTCTGTATCTCATGACTTTCACACAAGATGCATCAAGTAGTTGGTAGATGTTAGGCATATTTGGGCATAGGAGCTGAATGATGGCTGAGTCCCTAAGCATAAAAAGTGAGAAGTGTGTGTGAGGCCCTAGAAAGGCCTAAATAGTCCATGTCGCCCAAAGCCCCCAAACAGTGATTTTTCTCAGGCCCTTTTGCATGAACATAATGCACCCTCTCACTTTTTGTTTCCCGGGATGGTTCTTTCTTTGAGAATTTCTGTAGGAAGCCAGCAGCATACCCAATTAAATACAGACATTGCTCCCAACCCTTCGCTGGAGAAGTGAAGAACCCAATGGCTTTACTTTGTTGATTTTATTTTCATTTTTTATTGAAAGCTTCATCAAAGAAAACAGAAGTTTAAACCTAACATCCACTGATCTACAGAAAGCCCAAGGAATGGGGGAAATGGTAGCTAGTTTGACTGTGGTACAGATGAAAAATTAAAAATAAAACCAGAAACACCATAGAATTACAGAACTTTCCATGACAGTCAGAGACATCAGTACAAAATGCTCTTAAATAAAGTTCAAAATTGAACGATGCTTCAGAAGTTCCATGAAATCAAATATGGCCTAAAACAAGGGTTTTAAAAGAAGCTGTCCCTATTTTTTGTTGTTGTTTTTGTTTGTTTTTTTAGAAACTGAATATTTCATAGCAAGTACACTTTTACATATATTTTTTGAAAATTAAGATTCCAATTATATCCTCTTCTTTTTTAAAATAAATGGAAGCATTAATTTCCAGAATGGAGAAAACTTTTTCAAGTGTCTTTTTGAAATAGTTTTTTCAGTTTCTGAAAAGTATGGAATCACTTTTATATATGAGAAAATAACACATTTTGGAGAGGAAGACAGAGCATCTTTCTTAATCACCTAAGACCAGAGGGTTTAAAATACAAAGTGTAACACAAATTACACTTTGGACACTCTTTAAATTCGAAATGATCATTAAAAAAAAATCCACTGGCGTGTCAAAGGCATTCAACCTTAATACAGTAATGCAAAGTCAAAAAATAACAAAACAAAGCATTTATTTTTGTCAAAGATTTGAGATAGGGATATGAGAGTGTGTTTCACCGAGAGCTGCTATTATATTTTCATAACTGAATTTTGAGTTGACCTTTTCTACCGGATTGAATTTCAAAAGAGAAGGAAACCAAAACAGCTTTCTTTTGAGGGAAGCCAAATTCTTTGCTAGTTTTTTTTTTTTTTCCTTTATATTCTGCAAGAATACAGCCAACTCTCAATTATTTGTGGTGGATGGGAAAGGAACATGATGGATAATAAAAATCAATGGTATAAAATGCACTGACATTAATTTTACAAGTGATTTCAATAAATCAATACTTCTTCAATCAATCAATACATAATGAGAAGCAACATAGACTGATTTGAATTTTATTTTCCATTGTTTCTTGTTCCACCCTCAGGGTGACATGGTAATAAAAGGAAACAGAGCCCCAAGTCCTAATAGTTGAAAAGGAAAGACAAAACAAATCCACAAAGTAGATAATTAGCCCTTCAAAAATTGAGAGTGATTGTATTTCTGCAAGATTCAGTCATGGGCAGTTACTAACTGGAGTGAATAAAACGGAAAAAAAAAAAAAGTGTGACACGGTGGTCTAGTAGTTCTTCCGGAAGTCTCCAAGCTTGATCTCACTCCTGCTTCAGCATTAAAGCTTCCTGAGCGGAAAAAAAAGCATTTCTTAAACCATTATTTTCCCTCCCAGAAATACAAAGAAATGAACATTGAGAAGCCATCCATCCTTTTTGTGTATGTATGTGACAATTAGCATATGTACTAGGGTATAAACCCAAAGATGAAAGATATCAGCAATCTGGGGTGATCTTCCTGCCCTACATCATAAAAGATCTTTGGGGCCACTCAGGGACTTATATTTAGCTTCTGTGCTTTCCTGATCTCTATGTAATTCACAAAGGACAGCCATGACCAACAGCACTTGGATTAGAGATGAATTATATATTTAAAGATATTGGGTAAAAATTTTGAAACTTCAGTTAGACTCAACTGTCTTCCAATGCCACCGTGGATGTTATCTGTAAAACAAATTGATTCATTAATGAAATCCCATTATCCCTCTGCCACAGGAAGGGTATAATATATAGAATCAATGTGCCTGTTTCAATTACATCAGCCTCTCAGATCGGGGTGAGAGGCTGTCAATCCCAGTGAGCTCAAAATTCTGAAGCATGCCAAACCCGATGACATGAAAACCAAAATCTCATCCTTTACTTTCTACTGTGGACAAGACAATATAGATCAAGGCTCCATGACATGTTGAAACTTTATTTTGAAGTGATTCCTCAAATGTGCAGGATGTTGTTATACACATACAGAAATATTATCCTTTCATTTGATTTTATGTCATAGGAAAACGGTTATCACTGAAACCCACTTAAGGATTTCTTCCTGCTTATCAGCTCATCTGCAATATCTGTGTGCTCGGATTCAGCATGAGGCTAAAGAGGCAAATGCACTTTTGGTCTCCTGCTAACATTACAATCTGTCTAGATACCACATTGAAACTTCTCAATCATAAAGATTTCCTTCTGGACTAAGACAGCTTCCTATGACTGAGTTCGTGAAAAGAGTTTCACTTATTTGATTCTAATGATTCATTCCGGAAGCAAAGGTCCTATTTAAATCAAATGTCACTTTTCATTAATGGGGATTTTAGGCCACTGGAAAAGATGCATAGTTATAGAATTGACTTTGTAATTATTCAAATAAAGCACTGTTCTTTTTGGTCCTACATGAATTGAAAATAACTTTAAAGCAGTTTGGCATGGGGCTGATCTATTCTGTAGGCACAATGACCTTCCTGCTCCATGAGCCACCTGCTGCTGCTCAGGAAGAATTGATTCAAGTGAAGCATGGAGACAACACCCGAATGATTGAAATTTACCAAGGAAACAAAGTCACCCTGCCCAAGCTGGAGTAAGGTGGAGTATTTTTTTTTTTTTTAGAATATTATGTCGGTTGCAATATTCGAGATATGCTGGTATTCAAGGCCAGTCACCAGCCCCTGCTAGTATTGCATTTAGTTCACTTAGGGTCCATGACATCTTCAGAAGATATGGCCATGCGTTAAGGAGCTGCTATGCATACTTTGCCTCCTCTGGTAACACTTCATCGTTATTAAAAGAAAACTCACTCCTCCACTGACCATGTAACTGGAGTTTGGATGAGACAGTTTATCCCATTTGGATTCTGATTTTAGTTTCTTTCCTAATGGTTAAGCTAAGTCTTTGCAATTACCATTGAGAGGAAAAATTGGACATTTGAATCAATGCTCGAAAATCTGGTGAACCAGAATACTAAAAAAAAATGATTACGGGATAAAATAACCATAATATATATTGTTGATGAAATTAGGATTCTGATGTCTACATATATTGAACATGTATTTTGGGTTGTTTTGTTTTGCATCCAATGCAATGCTGCTTACCTGTTGCTTTGTTCCCCCTGACACAACTTAAAAAAAATATCAGCTAAGAGATGACAGATGCAAATTGGAATATGTGCCATTTTTCCCTTTTTTTTCCTTTTTGATTTGAAATGAGATATTGTATAGGATGGCATGATATAAAACATCCAAATACAAAACACACATGGACACGGAAAATGACAGGTAATTTCCTTTTGACTGAAGTGGCTTAAAAAAATTGAGATCACTGAAATTTTATAGTTGAAAACAATGTTTCTGATGTATAAATAAAACAGCAGTTTTGACTAGAAACAGGAAGTTACCTAGGCACATTCATCAGCCACATGGTAGCTACCTCTTAGCCTCATTGTTGATTGTGTAAATGAGACTTTCTTTGTATCACATTAAGGTTTTTTTGTTTTTGTTTTTTACAGAAATAAAAGAAAGCATGTTGGTTTCATATTCAAATGAATTATGCCCAGGATAATCCTTATTTATACAAAGAGTTCAGAGAGTGGAAAAGAAAGAAACAGAAAACACAGTTCCCATACAGGTTTGCTTATACCCCCTGTAACCTGGGGGCCCGCTTCTCAAAGATAAAACTTAAGGGCTACCCTTAAACTACATGAGAAGCTGAAGTGTGGAACAGAGGAAAGTACAAACTTAGGATTCTCTTTAAAGCATGGAAAACCATAAGGATGGGTGTGACCAGTTGGAATTTCTCTGTAGCATGTTACAATTTCTTGGATATATTTTCACCTCTAATTTGACCACAAAGATATGGAATCACTCTCTAGATTTGAGTTTCCAATACATGGTATTGCAAATAAGAGAGCCAGGTCTATTTCAACTCTAGGCTTTTGTTTGTAGGTCATAAATGGTGGAATATTGACACTTTTTTTCTGACTGAAACTCATTAGTCAGACTGACCTAATGGGAATATGATTTATCTTTAATTTTTTTTTAAAGTTTTAAAAAGCCTACTCTGATTTCTTTTACAAGGAACTTAATGTATTTCCCTCTTCCTTCTGGACTTAAGACAGGTTCCTATGACATAGTTTGTGAAAAGTTTCACTTATTTGATTCTAATGATTCATTCAGAAAGCAATTCAATTAACAACATTTCATTGTCCTTAGTTTCAGGTAAAACTGTACATGTTGAACAAAGATTTCATGAACCAAATATGCAGAGACGTTAGTTACATCGATGTTTGTTAATTCATTTTAGACAAAGTTTTGCATCATTCTCAATGCAAATATATCTCCTTTGGCTTTAATGATTGATCAAACCTAATTGTTTTGGTTCTTATTAATATAAATCATACAATTTCTTGATTGTCAACTAGCATTTTAAAAAGCTTACCTAAATTCCAGTAATAGAATCATCAACCTTATTGGTCCCACTTGCCTCAGAGAGTTAACTGAAATAAAAAGGTCTATTTTGTCTTTCTTCTGACAACACCAGGATTTGAAAATACAATGAAAAAGGAAAAAAGACGATATCCCCTCCCCACTGCAGAATCAAGGTGACTATTCGTGGTTGATGATGACCAAGACTGAGGTGAAAGACCAAATTAAGAGGTGTTGGAATTTAGAAGGAAGACTACTGTTAAAATACAATGAGACCTTTTCAGGAGACCACTCACCACTTAACAGAATGTCACTAAGCTTTTTTTTGACAAGTGACCCTTCAGACCAGGTACAGGAAGTATCTTTAGTTCAAAATTTGCATAAAGAAATTTCAACCTATTAAAAAATGTGTCTTAGCTTATTGGTGGCCGTCAATATAGGTTTCACTATTCAAGAGAGCTAGCAAAGAACCAGAAAAGCTCATGGAATTTAAAGCCATTTTTTCTATCAGTTGGTATCCAGAACTCTTCATGCTGAAACTGCTGAAAACAGCAGGTGCAAGCTTCTACTATAAACAAATATACAAAACAAAACAAAAAAAAATTTTTTTTTTTTTTTTTTTTTGCAGTATGTAAAACACCAGTGGAAGGTAGTTTAAACAAACAACAAAGTAAGAACTGGTCCGGCCATGTAGGTCAAATAAAATTTTTAAAAGAAAAGAAAAACAACTTCTATCTTCTGGACTGCAATAGGGTGCCACTTCATCTTTGGTATAAAATAGGCCATCCATAGGCTGAATTTGATCACAACTAGGAAAGACTACAGAAATTGTCAACAATTTCTCTATCTATTGCTTTTTTTGTTTTTTTGTGGGTTTTTTTGTTTTGTTTTTTTTTGCACTTTTGACCATAAGCTCCTATCTACTTAAGTTTTTTGTTTTTTTTTAATGCTCTTAAGCTAAGTTTTGCAATGTGACAAGCAAAGCTGACTAAAAACTTTGTAAAGCTCATAAAAAAGACTGCAGATAAAAAGCACTAATGCTTTTGCTAGCAATCACGCTTCGTAAATTAAAAAAAATCTGCATTCTGCCCCCCAAACACGCATTATTTCTAATGCAGTTGTTTTTAAACCAACCTTAATAACTTTACCATAAAATGTTTTAGCCTTCTAGAATGACTCAACACTTAAGACAAAGTTCATGAAAAGTCCCAGCATTTTTCCAATTCTTGTGGTTGCCATGGTTTCTTTTATCAACAAATTTTCTTCAAATGAAGAAAAACATTTTCTTTTAAACTGTACAGTTTTTTTCACCCTAAAAACTCATAGTCTTAAACTTCTGTACCAGTTAAAGCTGGCACAATATTTCCATTCTTTCTTGATTTTTTTTAACAAGACGTTGACAGCTTGCCTCGAGAGCTTTTGACGTCCTTAAAATTAAGGCAATTAAGATTCAAGATAAACCTTACCTAAATATTTCTAAGAAAAAATAAAATAAAAAAACCCAACCCACATTTAAACAAGACGGGGGGGGCGGGGGGAACAGAGTAGCTTAATTACCAAGGAAAACAATTTGTTTCCATTTTTGTTTGCCCACCTCTTGACATCATATTTTCCGTTAAAAAAAAATCTATCTACACCTTCAGATATAAATTCTGACTTCAAATGTTCTTCCAGATAACATGTCAACCTTCCATGTTTTGTTGTGTTGTTTTTGTTGGGTTTTCCTCTTCTGGGATTTTTTTTTACTATAGTTAAAAAATGATGGCAAAAAATAAACTATCAGACCACATGAAGGAACCATTTGCACAGCACATAAAAATGCTTTGTTTTCGTTGGGTAAAGTAGAAAATTAAGAAAAAAAAAAGAAAAAAAGAAAAAAGAAGCATTCCATTGACGCCTGTGCAAACTGGAAGCCAACTTCTTGTTCGGTGAAGTTTCTTCATTCAAGGCAAAGTTTCAGACGGACATTCTTCAGTCTTGTTTATGGTCTGTGAAAACAATTGAATAAGTGGTTATTACATCAAAGCAACATTGAAATTGCCTCTTGTGTTCTTTTTCAATGAGGCCTCTTCAAAAGATACCAAGCTCTTTCAAAATAACAGTCGTCAATGAAGTTGTAGAAGCTTATTGGACCAATTAAAGTGTCAAATTCTGCCACTTTCACACAAACGTATATTCCAGCCAAAAAGTATGTTCACATTCTATATCAAGGCTAATATGTCAAAAATATCCCTCAATTCTAAAGTAATAACTATTACAAATATACCCAGATAAAAAATATTGCCTTTATACATGGAACCTGTTTTTCATGGACTGGCTTATGTTGTATCTCCCCCAGGAACTCTGAGTAATTGTGACCGAACTCCCATGAGACTCATCACTCAGTCAACAAATATGTGGGTCCCTACTATGTACCCACGATATAGCAATGGAGTGTATGTTCTCTTGAGGTATGTTCGCATAAGCCTTATTGGCCCAAGTATAAGTAAGACAATTAAGAGGTCAATGGCATTTTGTTCACGTTCCCGCTTTCCCATCTCTTCTTCCATGCTCATTCATTTCATTAAAATTTCAAATTCTTGAGAGCAGGAACTGTATTTTTATTTTTTACTCTCCAGAAGTCTGGCAGAGTGGCAGTCACACAATAGGTGTTGAACTAGACAAATGTCACTTTTACTATATGCCACGTTCCCTAGCCCAGCCCCCTAAAATGCTTTCTGCTGTTGCCCCATCTATATTGCAAGGTTGAGCTTCTAGTAGCTTGATCTTTACTCTTAGCTCTTCCACCCACAGATTAGAGTTTTGCTAAACAATTTCAGGGGTGTGCTATAAAAAGAAGAACCTTATGATACACAGTTGCTTAAGGTAGTACAGGAACCTCAGAGTTGCTGGGTATAGTTGTACAGATTGTTCACTGCACAAGATGTCTGGCTGAGGAAGGGGAGTGGGGCTAAGTTCCAACCATTAGTCTGTTCCCCAAGCTATGTACTCATGCAGGGCTGCATTCACCCTGAGCTTAGTGGGCCTTATTCAAATTGACTAAAAGCCCCCAGCAATGGTTTCAACTATATGACAGTTAGCTTGGGATGACCCAGAGGGGTTGCTTTTGTTATACTGCAAAAAGCCCTCATGGGAGTGCCCTATGGCTCTTAGAGGCTGGATTAATTTATACTTAGAATCATGTAACACTCTAGTTGGTAAATTGAATGTTTCCATTTTGAACCAGTAGTTTAAGTCCCTAGAAATATATATTTTTTCTGTGTTATGCAAGAAAGTAGAATTTCTTTTCAGAAGAAATGCAATTAAAACTTTCATAATAGCAACAATAAGGGGAATTTTATTAATAGCAGTCAATGGAGATTATGGCATATATTTGATCTCCATGCCTCTGCAAGTATAGACTTACTCCGTTATTTCTAAAAACCTATCTTGTATGGTTTTGTGTCTTTAATTTCTTTATTCTTTGCTCCCACTCCTATCTTTCATCTTGTTCTTATTGTATATAGAGAAGAAAATGCCTAAAACACCGTGAATCTCTGTAAAAGCTGCTCAATGAATTGTTTTGCTCAATGGACTACACTGACATAGAACCCTCACTGCTCAGGTATGTCAAGTGCACTGGTCTCAGGGCATCCATATTGATGAGCTGGGCTGGAGCTATTTTCATGTTTTTATAACCTTACACAAATGTTTCTAATAGCCCTCTCCTATCACTTGCTTAATCCTTCAAGTAGTCTCATTGCTATGTGAAGACAAATGAGGAGAAATAAATGGTTGTATTTCACATTTTCATGGTTGCTAGCTGAAGTTCAAAGGGAAAAGGTGTTGCTATTTAAAAGGGCTGAATTCACTCCTGTCCATGTTCTCTGCCCTAGGTAAATGGTGAAAGTGCACAATTAAATAATGATTATGGGTTGCGTTGATATTTATAAAAATAGAAGGCTTCTAAATTTACGCTGCTGTGATCATTAGTAACAGGAACACTTTGAATTGGTCAGTGAGATTATTTCAGAAATAAAATTGGTTGCAATTTAAAAAGAGGAATTAAAGTCAATGAGATAATGAGTATGCAAATCATTTGCAAACTAGAGTACTGTGCAAGCAGAATGTATTATTACTCATAAGCATAAAGACATGTAAGCATGGTATCGAGGACATACTTTACATGTCATTAATATACTTACAATGTATAGGGAAATGGTGTTCATGACAATTCAGTTAGCCAGAGAAGACTTGAAGAATAAAAACACCTTGCAATGCTGGGGTTGAGGTAAGGGCCTTCAAAGGTCAGTGTGGATGTTGGACGACTAGGAATTTGACTGAATTTAAGATCACAGCGTCATTTTGAACCCTCTTATCTTTCATTATCCACCTCCCATCTCCACCTCCCCTACCCCCAAACAATAGAAGCAGGGTGACTAGATTAAGAAGTAGCAACTATAATCTTAGAATTCTAGACATTTAGAGCTAGAAAAAGTCTTAGAGATCATCCAATAATGCAATACTCCTCAATGTCATTTCTGATAGATTAGCTTTATGGGATGCCATGTGAAAAGGATTCTGTGTCCCAGAGTTTGGGAAAAACTGTACACTGGTCTTCCATTACTGGATTACCCATAGGCAAACTAAGCATGCAGTTAAGGCACCAACAAAAAAGTGTATCCAATAAAAAAAAATGTTTTTGAAAGAATATAATCTTTTAAATTAGTATCAAAGTCACCATCATGTTGACCACAAAAATTTTTGTTTGCGTTCTTTAATAATATGTTAAATAAAAAACAAAACTCTTAGAATTCCAAAGGGCAGCACACACTATTCTTTCGGGAACATTTGAAATATTTGTCAGGCCCTCTAAGAGGTCATAGTCATTAGCATTTTAATAGCTTTAAAGAGAACTGCAATTAAGAAAGTATTTCACTTAGGCTAAAGCAGTGTTTCCCAACAATGCTTTTGACCACCCCATCCCCACCCTAACGCCAGAGAATGGTGATAAATGATCTCTCTCACCACTAGAGACCTAATTTACACTCTGGAGAACAATCTAATCTCTCACTTTAAAGAAGAGGGAAAGGAGGTTCCAAAAGGTTGAGTGACAACTAGTAAGTGACACAGGTGGAATTTGAATCAAGGGCTTTTGATTTTGCATCTTAGACTTTAACTTTGAAGACTCATACTTTCAAGCCCTCCTTATTTTTTATTATTATTAGTTTCAGGTGTACAAAACAATGCAATAGTTATACTTTTCACCCCTCACAAAGTGACAACCCCCTTCCCCAATCCACTGCCCGCCCCCCCACACCCCCTTATTTTTAAGATTTCCTAAATAGCACAAAGAAAAACTGTTAACTTAAGCAGGAATTGGAATTTCCATAGGACTTCCAAAATAAACCACAGGTATCATTTCCACCTTTTGGGATAAGAGTCCAGAGTCCCTTTGCATTAATAACTCTTAACAATAGAAGAACAAAAAGCATGAGTACAAATTGTGAAGACCTGCTTTTTAGTGGAATTTGGAATATGAAAATATTTGCTGACAGAGATCTCAAATATATCGTATTCATATGCACATCATTTATATTTCTCAAACTTTTATCTGTCAACCTTCTGTTGTGATATTTCTAATTTACTTTGGAATACCTTTAGTATAGACATTCTGATGTTAAATTATGTGTGATGGGTTAAGCTACTTTTTAGGGGCACTCAACTATCCAATTCAGAATTTCACACCCCATAGGAGGTCAGCTATCATTTAATGAGAAAGGCCATAGGTTTGTACAAGTCCTTTAAACTATTCATATATCAATTAGCATCATGAATGTTAGAAATAGGTTGCCTGATGAATGTAGGGGCATGCCAATTGGCATAATAATGCTGGAAATGAGCCGCCATTTGTAAAATTTGGAGTACACAAGATAATGTGAATTGGCGAAAGTATTGTAGAGATAGTCACCACTCTAAATGAACAAGAAAGATAGGTGTAGAGAATGATGTAGAGAAATTTGTAGCCTATAACTTTAGGGATTCTGCTTGTGACTTGACCTCAAAACAAGGCTGTAAAATAGACTTCTGGTAGCTTCATAAAGATAACATAGCCTTACCGCTAGAAAATGGTCAAATCTAACCTGAGCGAATTTTTCATGGTAAGAGTGTTCAGGTTACTTAAAAGAACAGAGCTGGGACTATATCAGGTGAGTACAGAGCAAGCTGTACAAATTGTTGTGTGCCTCCTCTCTAATAAATGCTTCTTTAATATGTTTGTATGTCTCTGTGGGTGCTCTTGCATTCCTAAACTTTCCCCAGTGATAGTTACATAAGAAAACAAGCTCTGGTGTTTAGATGACCCATATGGTTCTGAAGAATCTCATGTCTTACTGTTGGGCTGTCGGAAAAGTCGTGATGCATTTTTCCAACAAAAAACATAGAAAAAAATATGTCATGACTTTTCCGACAACCTAATATATGACATAGGTCAGCTTCCCTTGGCTGAAATTGATAAAAACTTGGATAGGATCCCATGAATTTACTCCTTTAAAAAAAATTTTCAGAAGTGATTGTCATTTACCAATTTATTTGACAGGATATTGTCTTGGTTTTCATTCAATGTTTTATTGTTGTTGTTTCAAGTCAAAAGTTCCTAGTACTTTGTAGCATGTTAAAGAGAGGAAGTTGAGAATATAAACAGGACCTGTTAAAAAATTTCTCCAGGTTTAAACAAATATCCGCAAGGCAATGCAAATGGTTTTCACATGTCACACATTTGAAATGTTCCATGTTCCAGGGTGCTTTCATCTCTGTCATGTTGCAGCAACAAGCATGCCCTGTGGAACATCCTGTAACATACATTCCTGCATGAGTGTAAAAAAAAATTCCTTCAAACAAAGAAAGCCCTTACCATGATTTTTACCCCTATGAAGACATGGGATGGAGGATTTCTATTGTTGATATTGGTTAGACAGTTTTAAACACATTTGAACACAAAGTTTTATGTCGTTAGATTCAGACTTCCTCAACTCTTTCAAGGAATAAAGCTTCTTTGAATTAAATTCCTCCTGTTTCTCCACAAATCAGGCCCTCCTGATTTTATCTCATCTGTCTGTTAGTGGCGTCAATAACTCCACAGTTTTGCTTGGAATTTTAAAGTCCTGTTCTCCTATTTTTCTTACTCCAGTCTATCTCCCTAGCCCTTACCCTCACCATCTCACTTGCCACCATCTTGAAACAGGGCCCAGTTGGGACCCCCACAAAAGAGGCCTTGCAATGGCCCATGCATCACCTCTCCTGGCCCTAGAGCTTAACAATTGATCAACTCTCTCCCTGAGGTTTGAGCTTGGAATGTCCCCTGCTTTAGATAATTACTCCTGAGTTTAGAGTGTCCCCTGTCCAAGTTTCCTGCTTTAGATAATTACCCTGAAGCTCCTGCTTGCTTACTGATCACAATCTTTATGGCCTAGCATTCTTTCCAGGTTACTGTCATCACTGCTCCTGGGTCGATGCCCATGAAGGGGAGCCACATCGCCAGAGGGACAGCTCCATGCAGACCCCTGGAAGCATCATGTAGCCTCTGGAGGAATATCCAGATTTTTCTTTAAATACCCCAAGCCAGATTAAGAATGTGAAGGCAGTGTTTGGAGGTGTTAACCAGCTGCCTTCTCAGGCCCCCGGTGCTCTGATAACTCTTATTCTATGACCCGACTCCTGTGTCGGTCTATTGGCTGAGCAACGCAGGCAGCACTTGCCCCGGACTCCTTTGGCCTCCGGTTTGAATCTTTCTTTAGACTTTTTCCCCCTCTTGTCTGAACCATTGCAATAACAGGACTATTTCCATTGTTTCCAAATCCATTGTTTACTTCAACTGGAAGGTCATTCAAAGAACAAAGAAAATGCTGTTCAAGAACCTCAGCATGGCACCTGACATGAGAATCTGGGTCCATTGTGCCTTTCTACACCATTCTAATACTCTGCACCTACTTCCCATATTATTCTACCAGTGAGTTTTCCCACCTCTGGACATTGATCAAGATGTTACTTCCCCTGGACCATTGCTCCTTCCTGTAAGACCCAGTTCCAGTTGTCACAACCTCCACCAAAGCTTACATACCAAGAAAATCTAAATGCATTCTCCTATTACTTACTACAGCACCTTAAAAAAAAAAAAAAGAGCCCTGTTCATTTTCTTCCTGGCAGTATACTTACCTTGTCTATGCGTAGGTATAATCCTGTGCTAGGTTGTAAACTTTTGGGGGCAGAGATCCTATCTCCTAGCATCATACCTGGCATAATATCAGGTACTAAAAATGAAACTGGGCCTAGGTGTGGATGTGGATGGGGAGACTCTTCCTAGAATCCATGCGAGGCCAAGATGCTCAATCTGGGTTAGAGGGAGGACTCCCCTCCCCACCACATCATACAATGACCATGGAAAGATAGGAACAACCCTGAGAATGAGCATCTCATTATGGGCTGACAAGTAGGGGGCAGCTAAGGTTGATTTAATCAGGCAGGGAGAGGAGGAGGTTCTGAACAATTGCAAGAGGGGAAATGTGTATCCTGAAAGCCATCCTTGAGACACATTTCCCTATACATAGCCTCCGTTGGTAAGAGTGATTGAAATGTAAATAAAATTCTGTCATTTCTTCTCTTTAATCTCTCCAAAGATTTTCTAGCTCACTTAGCATAAAACCAATAATAATTAATTACTCAACACAAAGGCAAGTATCCAAGGACCAAAGGCTCTTACAAAAGGTAACCTGTTTGACTTCATTCCCTACAGCTCTCCACGTTAGTCTGGCATATTCCAGCCTCAGGTTCCCGCTCTGGACCTTTGCATTTCTGTCTTCTGTCTAGAATGTTTTTTCTCCAAATCTCTCCAAGATTAACTTCTAATTAGCTTTCAGATCCTTTGAGAGACCTTCCTGATATCAAATCTTAGGTACCTACCCAGTCACGTTCTATTACAAGAAACTTGTTAAGCAGTCTGCTTTGAAATTTTACTTTTTATTATTTGCTGATTAGTTCATTGATTGTTTGTCTATTCTTAGTAGAAAATAAACCCTGAGTGCCATCTGCCTCTTTCATTGAACTTTCACTAGCATCTAGAATATGGTCTGTCACATAGTTGGCACTCAATCAATAATTGTTGATTGGATGAATGAAAGCATCATTTTCCTTTATCCAGGCTTCATTAAACTGTTAGCAAGGAGGGTCTCAGATCACTCATTTCTTCATTATGCTTTAAAACAGCCAAAGCCAGTTTCACCTACTCACCAAGCCTTGAAAAATGTTTTTGGCAAATGTAGCATTTTTCATCTCCCACCAGTGCCTCTCACTGTGCTTCCACATAGCCAATCTCTACTCCTTTCTCACATATGATCTGCTGAGCAGACTGAAAAAAAAAATTCCAGTATTCTTGGAACAGAGTGCCAGAGACTATAATATTGTTTGGTATATGCAAAAGTGATTCACACAGGCTATAGGTGAATTAACACACACACACACACACACACACACTGCTTTATTTACTATGGATCTTTTTGGAAAGCTATTGTGTAAGAATAATGATGATAACAGTACTAATACTACTACTGATAATGATAATACCTTATATTTATAAGGTTAAGTCATGTTCTTAGTACATTTAATTCTCAGGAATAACTTTAGAAGCTAAACCACACGTATCGGACTCCATTGCCATGATTAACCTTTCAGCAACAAACCGATCTTTATTTATTTATTTTATTTTTTACTTTTTTAGCTGAGTCATCCTGCTACCTATTGGCAGCTTAGCAGCAGCTCAGCTTGGGCCAGGCATCGAACTGCTATTGCTTAGAGCTCAAACTCTTGAGCGAGCTCTTAACCAGCTGAGCCACTCGGCTGGCCCATCAAACCGATCTTTAAATGTGCATTGAGGTTAAAGAGCAACGATGATCAAGAAATGGGGCAACATTATACAGACAGAAAGGCTCATTGGGAATTCTCTATTCACCGGGGCTTTGATTGTTATCTACCAAGTATAGAATAGTTTGCATGACAAGACATTTGTACGTGGACTGAACTTTGTTAATTCCTTTGGTTTCAATCAAAACCTTTCAAATTTTCATCTATATAATTACTCAACACAAAGCCAACTTAGATCTTACTCAATGTTGTTTTATATTTTACAATACCCTTTTTCATGAATTATTTCACTGGGTGTTCAAAGCAACCTTGTACATGGAGTGTTACTGTTTTTATTTAAGAATGAGAAAACTGAGACCAAAATGCAGGCTCACTATTTGGTTTCAAGTGGGAATATTGGAATTTTTCCAAAATCTGTATGGTAGATTTTTTTTTTTTAAAGTGCTACAATGCTCCTTTCTGCATCTAAACCATTTGGTGGTGAATGCCTACATCAACCCTTGGCTTGGCCATGTACTTGCTTTATCCAAAGGGGCAGAATAAATGAGTCAGAAACAATTGAAAATGGCAGTCATTTGGGCTTACTTTTTTGTTTTTCTCCAAATTCTGAGACTTCCATGTGAATAAGCCTTCTGGATGATCAAAAACACGTGGCTCAGTCACTCTCTCACTCAACCAACAGCCAAACAACACCCAGAAGCAGAGCTGCAAAAATGACCAGCAGCCGTCCCCAGGTGCTTGAGCAAGTCCAGTCAACACCGGAAGACCTAGTCACCAGCTCAAATCACCAACCCACATAATCATGAACTAAATAAATGCTTGTCACTAAGTTTGAGATGGTCTGTACTGCAGCAAAAGCTAACAGATACAACACGAGAGAGTCAAGTCAAGATGGCTGCTCTTGATGGAAAGAGCTTAGTGTAGCCCGCACTTACTTAGACTGTGGGTAGGGATATGCAGATGCATGTTCATTGGACGTGTCCACTGCTATTTGTTGTTGCTGACCACTGGTGTCCTGGGATGAAGGTGCCACTGTCTGGGGAGAGGTATCAGCAACAACACCCTAAGGAGGCAGATAAGAACACAAAAGCCTTATTGACTTCATCAAAGAACCCTCTTCCAGATGGACTGTAGAGAACACCCCTCTTCTATCTGGCTCGAGTAAAATTTCACTCTGCTGCATGAAGCCACAATAAGTACTCAAAGAAACATTACAGAGCCCATCTGGATAAGGGCTGAGAAATTCACCTCAATGTGCAACTAAGAAGCCTTGCCATCATATGTCCTTGGAGAAAATGTTCAGAAAATCATTTTGCCCATACTTAGAACTTTTAAACCATAGTTGCATATAGCCATACTAAATAGTAATTTATTAATGAAAAAAAAATCAGGCAGGATTCCTACAAAAATTGTATACTCAAGCATTTTGCTGTGTAGTGAACTGTACCATGGCTATGTGATCTGGCAAAATAATGAACTCTTGACCTTAATAAAAATCTACATCAAAATTTGAAATTATTTTAAAAGGATGCTGCTAAGCAGGATTTCCCTTCAGAAATTTGATTTGTTTTCCACACATGAACTGGACTTCATTTGGAGGTTTCAGAAAAAGAAACAAACATCGTTCAATATGATTTGCTCCTGCCTGCACACTTTCATTCTCTTGTTCCTCACAGAGGCCAACAAAAACGAACTTCTGGGATTGGTCATTATTAAGGACATATGTTTGGTTCCCAGAGAGGCATGGGTACTTTTACTTGGTAGGTAGTAGGCCTAAGGAAGGCCTCTATCTGAAAATAGCCTCCAGGTTTTACTTTAGCTGGGGACACATGCGGTGATATTGGGTTTCAAATGTTTTTGGTTAACTCTCTGTCACTAAAGATCCTGCAATTACTCCTGAGATTTTGAAATTTTTCCCTACATATCTTTTTTCCCCCTCATATACTATTTAGTATTATGCATTTTTCTCTGAACCTCCCACCAGCATTTACTTGTAAGGATCTTGGTGAATTTTCAATGAGTGTTTTTACATAGAAAATGAATCAATGATTTTCCTTATAAGCATAAGTCAAGGAAATCTATCAGGGTGTACTTCTATTTTTCTTAATGAGAGACTTCTTTTTAAATCCTAGATTTAACTACAGTTAGACTGTTTCCAATATGCCACACTGGCAAATATGTCTCATAATTTTATAGTCATCAAAATTCTGTAGATAAGCATACACCTTTATTGTACCAATAGAGAAATGCAAATATGTGGCAGACATTTATGTTTTAAGTGCTTAGAATGTCCACATTTATAATTTTCTACTGACCTAATGCTTTTTTATAGCTAAATATAACAAAAAAAATGTGTTTTAATCACATAGTCTTAGAATTCTGAAAAGTCTATTAAAATCTGTTTAATACTGACATATTCTTTGGGACCCATAGTTCTGGACCACTAACATTTTAAAAATTGGACTTCTGTGGTTTTCTAAATTACATGATAGTGTCCTGTTAAACTGTGTTTCTCAAACCTTGGTAGCAGCAAATATTTGTCACACACCAAATGGACAAATGGATAAAAAGATGTATCTATACAACAAAATATTATTCAGTCATAAAAACGATGAAATATTGCCATTTGTGACAAAATGGATAGATTTTGAGGGTACTATGCTAAACGAAAGAAGTCAGAAGAAAAAGGACAAAAAAAGTATCATTTCCATAACATAGAACAAAACAGAAATAAATGAACAAACAAAAACAAACTCATAGATAACAGACAACAGATTGGGGGTTACCAGAGGGAAAGTGGGGTGGGGGGAGAAAAAGGGGTCAACTGTATGGTGATGGATGGAAACTAGACTTTTGTGGTAAGCATATGGTGTACACAGATGTTGAATTATAATGTTGCATATCTGAAACTTACATAATATTATACACCACTGATACCTCAATAAAAAAATGCAAATTCTGACTCAGTAGGTCTGGGTGGTGTCTGAGAGTTTGCATTTTCTAACAAGCTCCCCAGTGATGCTGATAATACTGGTCCAGGAACCACTCTGAGTAACAAGGCACTAGAGGACAAGCTTATTCAAATACTCGTAGGTACAATCTTTTTCCCTCTCCCTGTTTATGAGTATTTGTTGTGAACATTTGATGGGGTAATGATTTGGTCTCTGCTCTGTTCTCTAAATATGAGAACGACATTTCTTTTATACCCTCCTAGCAAATTAGCTATCTATGTGTAATACAAAACATGTGTCCGTGAAAAGGTACATACTTTCACTTACTGAGACTGCGACTTCAAAGTTTAGAGCAACACAAAAATCACATATAAGGATTCCTTGGTTTACAGGACCACAGTGTATGTGTCTGAGATGGCTCTCTCCTACCCTCTTTCTACAAGACAGAGGCAGACTTACTTCAATAGAAACAGCTGTCGGAGGCACAGGCGTGTACTGGGGAATGTAGGTCCCTTGCATAGGAGCGGCAGCAGTCATATACTAGAGGGAATCAAAGAAAAATGCACGTGAACTTGGGATTGCAACCAACGAGAAAAGTAGATATCACATGAAACTGTCACAGATATGTGGCCCATGGCCAGTGCATGATTAAAGTTAAACTCTATTTTGACCCAAAATAAGGCAGTTCCTATCAGCATAGAATGACCTTTGTTTACTGATTCAGTACCAACAGCAGCCCAACTCCATGGCATCAGTACTCGCCAACTGACCACCATCCCCTCACTTTGTCTTTTTCAATGTTCTATATCAGATCTCAAACATTTCACTTCCATATCTAAAATGTGAACTTCCAGAGGGCAGGGATGATGTCTGGTTTCTTTTTTCTCCATTTTATGGCTGGCACATAGTAGGCTCTCAACAAACTATTTGTTGAATGAATGAATCATATTGTTAGTAATGGATTCTTTTCTAACTCAAAATAATAGAGTAATAATGCAAAAAATACTTATGCAGCAATCAGAATTGGCAAATGTCATCATTTTGTCATTTTCACATCATTTAAATATATATATACATATATATATATATATATACATATACATATACATTATATATATATATATATATATATATATATATATATATATATATATATATGAAATACAGTGTTGCAGAGAATGCTGAAGTCTCCTCTGTTCCCTTCACCCATTCCATTCCTAAGTTGCTGTCAGTATTCCCTTTTCAAATCCTTGAATTCTCCAAATTTTCTTCACTCGGATAAAGAATGAAACATTTCAATCATTTTTTTCACTAAGTGGTAGCATTCGGTAAAATACATATTGGGGATAACATGTATTTTTCCAATGAAGAAAGGGAGCCTCAGGAAAATTACATGCTCACCTATCTCAACAGAAAGTATGACCCATATTCCCATTTCTAATACACATTCCCCCTGCAAATTCAAAGCTCTAATCTTTGGAAATGGAATTTTCTATAGAATCAACTATGTTTCTGAGCTTGATCAACATCACACAACTTTAGAAACAGAATCATCTAATGAAGACAAGATTTCTCAAGTCATAAAGGTTAGAGAAAGGATTGTTATGGAAAATCACAAGCCTCTGAATTTTTATGCTTCTAAATTTGCGGAGTTCAAAAATTAAGGCTGTGAATAAATACGCAAAACCAAAATGACTGTTTTATGTATCTTGGCACTTTCAGTATCCAAGAGGCGTGATGATTCTGAATCAAGGGAACTATTTGAATGGAGACTAGCTCATCAGTTGTTCAATATTTGTGGGAAATTATAAAGAAACTTTGAAATTCATCTTCATCCTAAACTAAGCACTGTCCTACTATTTACTAAAAGTAGAGACAGCCATAGTGAAACAACCTCAAATCAAACAAATCAAACTGTTGTCTGTAATCCATGTGTTGTTACTAACAACAACTGAGTACAATTTATTTGTATTTTATTTTTTTAGCTGAGCCACCCTGTCACCTGTTGGCAGCTCAGCAGCAGCTCAGCTTGGGCCGGGAATCGAACCAATGACCCTGTTGCTCAGAGCTCACACTCTTGAGCAAGCTCTTAACCAACTGAGCCAATCAGCTGGCTCCAACTGAGTACAATTTATATCTATATTAAACCATCTTGTAACTTGAACCAAAAGCCATTGCTTGAAAGACCTGCTGATATTGCTAATTTAGCTTTATAGTTGAAAATTTTCAGAGATTTCTGTGCCCTGTCCTCTGGATTCTCACAGCACTCACCACTCTTCTAGTAAAATTGTCCAGGTAATATCATCTCTTTAAAGACATGGGCCCGAGTTTTACTTGTTTCTGCATCTTCTGACACACCACGCAATGCCTGGTTCTCAATAAGTTATTGTTCAATGGCTGAACAAAAGGATGTGAGATGAAAGTCTTCAGTTTCTAATGACAAATTTTGCATGCCTCTTAGCCATTGATAATTCTGAGCTCATTATAGATATTAGTTTCACCACTCCCACAATGTATTTATATAATGTTTCAATAATTACTTTAGCCAACTTATTGTCCTTGTGTCTAAGTAGATAATGAGTATTCAGGTATCTCATTGCTATCAGTTTTTAAAATAAGTACAGAACTCTGGAGTCACATTTTGCCAAATATTATTTTGCATCTGGAGCCCTACAGCAGGTGTCTGCATTGCCAACAAAACTGCTCTAGAGAGTACGTATGTTGGGAATAACAGTCCCCTGACTATTTCAGACAGGTGGCCTGCCTGTGTTATATAGGTTTTAAATATCCTTTGTTTTAGTATTCCCTACAATGTGTTTTTTTAGAATGCTCGCCCTCCAGAGAAGAAAGCTCTCTGTGTTCCAATGCATTTGAGCAATATTGCATAATATATTCTCTTCTTTGATATTGACATTTCACATAAAACTCTGAGAAATCATATTTTGCCGAAGCCTAGTTAAAGATGATTAAATCAGCATTTCTAAATTTTTCTTTGTAGGACTTAATATTTTTGCTGAGAACTAGAGCTCTGAAGAACATACTTTGGAAATTGTTTCTTTAATTAAATCTCAAAAATCCTTGTAGATTTGTAGCAAGTGGGAATGTATTTTTACCAACTATGAATTTATCGAAGCACAGAGTTGATACTGTTGTGGCTCATGTTCACCTTTTGGTCACGATTTTTGAAGAATTATAATACGCTCGAGAAAGGATAATCTATCACAGATTGGGGTATTTTCTATTCCAGAGTTAGCAGTTCTAAACTTTGCCACTGGGCCTAATAAGTGAGTATGTGTATGTGTTTCCTCTGCCTAAGACGATGATGATGATGATATCACTGGTACCCATTTTCGGGACGCGACTTTGATCCATTCCTGCTCCACCATCTGTGTCTCTAAAGAGGCGTTTCTAGGAACTAGATTTAAGAACATGGCCTGGGGCTACACAGAGCAATCTTCACTAGCTCACACGAGAATCCAACTCATGTTTAGGCCTCTCATGCCAAACTATAGTTCCAGGCAATGTAGTTAATGAAAAGCATATTATGAACTTCTTAGCTAAGCTTCTTCAAAGGACTCTGAGTTACTCAAAACTTCATTTGTGTTTTGTTTAGTAAAACTGAAACAGTAAACCTTCAGGACTCCTATGACATTCAATGAAGTTGTGAGCATGACCTAAACTGAACTGCTTAAGGTGTAAAGTCATACTCATCTTCTCTTTAGAATAACACTGTGCATTAGGTAGGAATGGCTCACCCATTTTACAGATTGAGAAACTGAGACATATAATAGGAGTAAACGCCAGTTCTTCTGACCCATAATTCAGCCCATTTTTCAGGCTAATTCATTACCTTTGAAATTAAGTAAATAAGGTCTTAAAAACTTCCTTTTGATCAATCCCATGTGATATAAATATCTTCATTATTTTAAATTAATGGGCTTTAAAAACTGAAGTTCCAATTAAGAAATATAGAATAACGTGCCTTTTATTAACATTTTGTCATTTAATTTCCATACATTTTTAAATTTTACTTTATACTCTGAATCCCTAATTTTCTTTTATGAAGGTTAACACATATGATTAACTTATTTGATAACTTAACTTGCTTTTATGCTGCCCTTCCAAGGAGAACCAGTAGAAATTTTATAATTAAATGAGGCACCTGAATTCAGTGTGTTACGTGTGTATCTTTTAACAAAGAAAATCTTTCTGGATGCTTTTTTCTTTCTTTTGTCATGGAAAAACTAATAAACAGAGCTTGAGAAAGTTGTTTGAAAATTAGGAATAGACACTTATTTTAAAAAGCCGATGATGCTGTGAAGTTTTATACCCCGTAAGACTATGGATAAACTTTTGTAATAAAACGCTTCCATAGTAGATATACATTTTCTAGGGCAAAGCCTCAAGAAGTGATAGCCTTGTAAAATGAGGAGAAAGTACTTACAGGAAATGGCTACAGCCAGGTATAAGACCAACTCTCAGCTTTAGGTAATTGGTGACAAATAACTCTAAACTTTCTCTGCAAGCACAGAGTTTGATTTCCTTAAGAGCACAGATAAACTACAGTCAGACTTAATAATCCAGACTGCACAAAAGATTGCTTAGATCTGGGTGCCTCAGAGGCTGCTTTCATTTTCTCCAGCTAGCAAATGACATAGAATTAAGAGAAGGACCTGTGATATAAAAAACCTGCCCCTTTGATTTGATAAATCCCTGTGGATTACTTATTAAAAGCATAACAAGAGTGGATGTACACCCTTTAAGTTGATTCTTTTACTGGTATTTCTCAAAAACTAGAAAAAAATCTACCATGATTCTTTCATGAGTACAGATTATTTTGTATTGTTTTTGATACGATGATTGATGGGAACCACATTACAATGAGATGATATAGATAAAAGGAATACGTCCATGCAATATTTGCTTGTATTTTGCAGCTCAAAGTTTGACATTAATGAATACACTTTATGTTTTGGTAAACAACTTGATGCTTTTACATATTCTGAAATTACCAAATTTTCACATATAAGTATGTAGGAGACCTGAATAGCCATTTTCAAACCCACAGAATAAATTTCAAACTCCATCACTTGTTCCAAGAAGTCTAGACACTGCATCACCAAGGCAGTTACATAAGGAGAGGGAGAAAAATGGTGAAACTGGAGAAGAGTTGTGTTTTTGCCTATTTAAGTCAGGACAAACTGTTTCTGTTACGGGGAATTGTTGATTATTTCCAAGGAAACAAAGACAGAAAACTCTACAGTTCTAGTTTTGGATTTACTTTCTGTTCCCCCACCAAAGCAAAACAAATCAAAAATGTTTTATATATTTTTTGCAAGAAAACTTGTCATTTTAATTATTTCTAGAGCAAAAGACTGGCAAGTGAGTGCCAATGTTTCAATTTTGGGAATTTCCTAAAATAATTCATTAAACTGGCTCATTTGGAGTTATCATTCTAGTAGTTTGATTGTCAATTGGCGCTTTTAGTCCTTATGGTTAAATTCATAAATCTGCCTAACAAATTGCAGCAAGGAAAGTCA